ATGGCCAGAGGGTGGTGGGTAGGGAAGGAGCCTGGACTCCTGGAAGCTGACAGACTTGGGGATAAGTCCTAGACTAGCTAGTGGTCTTAGGTAGCCCACTTCACCCGTGTGGGCCTCAGTCTCCTCATCTGTGAAGTGGGGCTGTTATTTCTGAAGGTCAGAAGGAGGAGGGGGCGCTGGGATAGTGATGCAGGCTCCACGCTGCCATCCCTGACCTGGGACCTCACCTCTTTGCAGGTGAACATGCTGGTGCTGGGCAAGTACCTGGGCATCCCCAAGCCCTTCGGGCCCATCATCAACGGCCGCTGCTGCCTGGAGGAGAAGGTGCGGTCCCTGCTGGAGCCGCTGGGCCTCCACTGCACCTTCATCGACGACTTCGCCTCGTACCACCTTCAGCACGGGGAGGTGCACTGCGGGACCAACGTGCGCCGGCAGCCCTTCTCCTTCAAGTGGTGGCACATGGTGCCCTGAGCCTGGCGCCCCTGGCATCCTCTCCCTTGGGAAGCTCCTGGCCAGAGGCTCCGGTTCCCTGCAGTGTGGCATAGCAAGAGTTCTTGGGGACACTTTGGCTCCCCAGGAGATGACCACCCTCTAGACAGTGGCTTGCTTCCTTCCCTTGTGTCCCAGTTGAAGATCCCCAGATGGTCCTGGCATTGCAAACTCAGTTGTGCTGTGAGAAGCTGCAATAAAGTTTTATAATCACTTTGTGCATGAGGTCAGCTATCATTCATCCACTTGTTCGTTGTCATGGTTGAATGGAACAGTACAAATTAGAGGCTGCTACCAGGGTTTTTTGACGGTCAATGTTCCTGCCTGAGAATTGGGTCCCTGTTCATGTTGTCCTTGGAGAGAAAGGCAGCAGATGGGTGATGCAAGAGCCCAAAGGGCACGTGAGGATTTGACTGTTCTGTCAGTACACCCAAAGGTTAGCGAGTCCTCTTGTCCCTCCTGCTGATCGTTCCCTGTCTGCCAGCTTGAAAGCCCCGTAAAGCGGGCTCTTGCCCCTTTGCTTGCTGCTGCACTATGGACTGCCCAGCAGGTGTGGCACACAGTAGGAACCATGGGCTTTGTGGAATGAAATCATTAGTCCCCTCTGTGTCCTTTTTGAGTGTTTGCTTTTATGGTCCTGACATAGGGACTTAGGTTCCTCAATAGGAATAAAACATCATGACTCAAGATCTTTGAAACAGAGGCCGGGTCTTGGCTCCATAGAGCCCGAGCTACCCAGAAACACCCAGAGGTTCTGCTTTCCTGTGGCTCGTGGAGACCGGCGAGGGTGGAAAAGATGGGCATGCACGGCCTCTGCCCTCACACTAGGGAGGAAGGGACCCGTAAACCTGGTGAAACGTGACTCGCTGAGGAGGTTCAGCTGCTCCCCCTGTCCCACAAGGCTGGGCACAACTTGTAAAGGATAGAGAGAGAAACTGGTGGCTAAAGTAGCCCTTGCAGCAGGGTAAATGCAGGTGAGCACCCCAGTCATGCATGGCCGGAGGGGACGTCTGTCAAGCAGCCAGGGAAGCCCAGGTGGAGAAAGCACCAGGGGTAAGTTCTACCAGGCCCATAGAGCATGGGGCCTCCTTGTGACAGTGCCCTCAGCAAGGACTTTCCTGCTCCCTCCCCTCCCTAATGCCCAACTCTCCTCTCTTCCTCAGGGGTAACGGGTTAGTTTCCTGTAGCTGCTGTAGCAAATGACCACAAACTGGGTGGCTAAAAACAACACAAATTCATTCCCTCAGTTCTGGAGGCTAGAAGTCTCAAATCAGTTTCACTGGGCTGAAATCAAGGTGTCAGCAGGGCCACACCCCCTCTGGGGGCTCTAGGGAGTCTGTTCCCTGGCTCTTCCATCTTCTGCTGGCCTTGGCTGGTGGCTGTGTCACCCCAGTCTCTTCCTGTGTGGTCATGTCACCTACTCCTCTGAGTGTGTCAGATCTCCCTGTTTCTTATAAGGAGACTTGTGATTGCATTTAGGGCCCACCCAGATCATTCAGGATAATGTCGCCATCTCAAAGACTTGGTTACACCTGCAAATTTAGTCCCTTCTGCAAAGTCTTGTTCTAGATGAGCTAACACAGATTCCAGGGATTAGACCTGATAGCTTTGGGGCTGTTATTCAACCTACTACAGGTGGGAACCAGCATTTGCCAGCTGGGCAGGCAGAAAGGAAAGAAGGAAGCTGAGTGTCCCCTTTCCACAACCCTAAGCTTTGAGCCTTCACTAAACCCTAGTGGGAAAGACTTAACTTTATAAAACCGAGTTTGGAGCTTTCTTTTGTGTGTGTCTGGACTTTCGGACTTCTGGAGATTGTTTGGTGACTGTTTAATGCCTGATTCTGAGAGAGAAATTGGCGCGCAGGTTTGGAGGTGGGGAGCTTTGGATCTACACCTAGGAGAGGGTGTGGGGAGCGGTGGCCACAGAAGTTCAGGTAATCCCTTGGGAAGCTCTGGGGCTGAACGGGCCCTCAGAGCTCTCCTGAATTAAGATAAGTAGTCTGGCCTTTGTCCCTCACATTGCATGTAGCTGTCCCCAAGGAGGCGGTGTAGCCTTGGGAGGTGGCAGTAGACAATTCCAGGAGGACTTGCTGTGAGCCACCAGAAGCCAACTCACAGCATCTGGGGTTGGAGGGGTGGGTAAGTGCCTCCACCCTGATGGGGGGGGGGTGTCAGGTGGTGCACCATAGCATCCACCACAGTGACTTGAAGTGCCATGGGACTTGACTACTGGAGAGGGACTGGAGACTTCCTGCATTGAANGGGGGGGGGGGTCAGGTGGTGCACCATAGCATCCACCACAGTGACTTGAAGTGCCACGGGACTTGACTACTGGAGAGGGACTGGAGACTTCCTGCATTGAATAGCACCGAAGAGCTGTGGGTGGCCTCTGTAAAACTGCTTTGTGGTTGCAAATCCCTCGTTTTGGTTGGAGAGCCTCATGGACACCTATTGGGTTATCTGTGGGAGAGATGAAGGTAGGGTGGGGATCATTTAGTCATTTTGCTGCATAAGAGTTTATTGAGCATCTACTATGTCCTGGACTTTTGTGTGAGCTGGGGATTAAGTGGTGAATGGGTAATCCCCTGGATGGGGGGCAGGACCCCTTCTAGATCTCTCCAAGTCCCTTTTATGTCCAGAGAAACCAAGGGTGGCCCACCCTACTATGCTCAGACAGAGCCCTGGCACAAAGCAGGGCTGTCTGAGGGTTGGGAGGGACAGAGCTCCCAGGCTGTTCTGCTCCAGAACCCCAAGCTCCTCCCTCAGCAACCCCTCCCCAGCCTAACCATCGCTTCCCTGGAGCCATCTCTGGCCAGCTGTGTGAGCAGACGGGTGGGCAGGTGTGGACAGGCCCTTTGTGGCGAGATAAAATTTTGCCATTTTCAACCCAACCAGAGGGACTTTTAGGGTCTCTTTGCCAACCCCCTGCCTCCAAGACGCCCCAAAGCAAAGTCACCCTGACAGTTATGCTGTGTGCTTAAAATCTCCAAGGAGGCATATTTTTACTTTTAATCCCGAATTTAAGCCTGGCTGACCGAGCAGTCTTCACGCAGTATCCAGCTTATATCCACCATGCTGTTACAGGCGGGTTACTCATCGCAGTGTCGTGTGTCAGGGCAAAAAACTGAAAACAAATGCTTATGTGTGTCTGTGATGGCATAGCCCTCTGTGGAATACTATACAGCCATTAAAAATGATAAGGGTGCTTTTTACGTACTGATACGAAGACCTTCTGCCTAAAGTGAGCAAAGCAAGGTAAGCAATGGTGTGTAGCATATAGTACCATTTATGTGAAAATGAGGAGGGGAGGACACACACACGTTTGCGTGGTCACACGTAACATCTACTTGCAAAGACATGGAAGAAACTGATGCCACTGGCTGCCCCCAAGTAAGGGAACAGAGTGGGTGAGAGACAGAGGCGGGAGGCTTTGTTGCAAGCCCCTTTTGAACTTGGAACCATGCGAACATGGTACCTATTCAAGAATAACTATAAACCTCATTTAAAACGTGAAATGGACACCATTTTGAAGGTGGGTAGTGAGTCCCTTGGGCTAGAGCAGGCGGTCTCATCTTCGCTCAGTGAGCTCGGGGGAGATGAGCAGCTGGTGAACTCGGCTCAGCATGGGCACCTCTGTTCATCCTACCAACACCTGCCGAGCCCTGCAGGGAGCTGGTGACATAGTTCGGTCAAGGAGCTCCCCCTAATCACCTGGAGATGGGACCTGGCTTCCTGGGCCACACCCCAGACTTGCCAGGCCCAGGTTCTGCAATTTTAACAAGCCTCCCTGGGCATTTTTGCAACCACTAGAGCATTGAGAACCACTGGTCCAGCACTTTGCAGAGATCACGTCCTCAATTTCCAGGAAACACACCCCTAGAACTGAGGCCCCAGCCCAGCCGGGCGTGGCTCAGCGGTTGAGCGTCAACCTAGGATCCAGGCGATCAGGGTTTGATTCCCGGTCAGGGCACATGCCCGGGTTGTGGGCTGCAGCAGATCAGTGACTCTCTCATCATTGATGTTTCTCTCTTTCTCTCTCTCCCTCTCCCTTCCTCTCTCTGAAATCAATAAAGATATATTAAAAAAAAAAAAGTTAAAAAAGAACTGAGGCCCCAGAGCCTGGCGCTGCTACCACTCGCTGCCACCCTGACCACCACCCCATGCACCCCTGCAGATACTTGCTTCTGACAGCTTCCCGCTGAGTCAGTTCTCCAGCGCTGTGACCAGGTTGACGAGTCCCAGAGTCCCTCGTGCTCCCAGCTGAAGGCCAGAGACCTTAAGCAGCCAGCCTCGCACGGGCCTCGTGGCTGCAGGCACAAGCTGCCCAATAAATTGCGATGAAGGGGCTCTGACCCCACCTGTTCCTCTGCAGCCTCAGTGGAGGAAGGCAGTCACACCTGGGCAGGCGCTGGAGCCTCCTTAACAAGGGCGCGGCCTGGAGCCCATAAGAGGGGAGGGCAGGCCGCGGGAGCCCGGGGTCAGCTGAGGTGGTTGTGTCGGGTGAGGGTGGTTAGCCTAGAGGGCCCTGCCATGTCCTGCCAGAGCATCGTCCACCTGTCCCTGGGCAGCCCTGCCCACGCTATTTGTGTGGTGGGCATGGAGACCTGCCTGGATCTCAGCAGGTGAGGGGCTGGGGGTAGGTGTAGGCGGGAAGGCTGGCGCCTGGCTCCCCCCGGGGCTGCCCCTGAGCTGTGTGGGGTTGAGGGATTTTCTGCTTCCTCTGCATCTTCCCTGTCCTCCTGCCTTAGCTCAAGGGCCTCCCAGTCCTGACGCTGCAGGATTCTGACTCAAATCCTGTCTCTGCCCCTTGCGGGCTGTGGGACCTTAGATGAGTAGTGCCCTGCCCTCTCTCAGTCCCCTTACCTCTGAAATGGGGGTGAGGCTGCCTCTCAAGGGGGACTCCTGTACATTGGAGCCTCAGTGGGGTGACACACTCAAACAAGAGGCCAGGCCATCCTCGGGGTCATAGCACAGACCTCCCGAGTCCCAGGCCATGTCTTTTCTGCTACAGGGATCCCTGTGGTTCTTTCCACCTTGGGAGTTAGGAGTTTTATAAACAGGGTGCAACTTTGGTAATTTCTAGAGCACTGATGGGAGGGTGGCTCTGGGCTGGAGCTTGTCGGAGAGAGGACACAAGGGTCCTTAGAGTAAGGCTGAAGTTATTTTAGGACCCCCCCCTAAAGCTGCCCTGAGGGTAAACTGGGGTGCCTCAGAACCCTAAGGAGAGAGATTGGGTGGTCGTCCCCCTCTGTGCCAGCTGCAGTCTGGGCCGCGAAGGTGAGACTTGTCCCCTAAAGTCTGTCTTCGGGCAACCAGGTGTGCCCCGCGGCAGTGCACGTCCTTCACCGTCAGCGGCTCCCCGGGGGTCTCGGTGAGTGTCCGCAACAACGGCTCGGTAGCAACCAAGGAGGAGGCTGCCACCACCCAGTTGCCTCTGTCTGATCCCATGGACGTGCTGATGAAGATGACGTGCCCCAGCCCTGCCATCGACCACGACAAGGTAGGCTGGGGAGCGACGCGGGGGGAGGGGCAGCTAACACGACCCCGGGGCTCCCTCTTCACAGCTGGTGTTTCCTGAGTCTGTGAAAAACTTGGAGCCAGGCGTTTTGCGTGTCTGATCTTTAATGCTTGCGACAAACCTGTGAGGTGGGCACTCCATGGCCCCACTTTACAGATAAAGAAACCAAGGCACTGAGAGGAAGTGCCCTGCCCATGCCAGTAACTGGCATTCAAGCTCAAACATGTCTGTTTCTGTGTGTGCTTCTGACCACGACGCTGGGCTCGCCTCCAAACGGGCTGCTTTTAAAATCTGCCTTAAAAGGTTTCGGCAGCAGAACTCCAATGAGCTTTTTGGCTAAGGCTGGTCTTCTGGAGGCGGAGAATGAAACTTAAGAGCTAATGCGTATTAAATGCATGCTATGTACTAGGTATCTTGTGCACAGAGGTTGGCTTTCCCCCACTTTACATAAGAGGAAACTGAGGCGCAGAGTTGACCTATCTAAGCTTAAATAGCAAAACTAGAGTGGGGGCAGATCCAGGACTTGAGCCCAAGTCTGTGCCCTTTCTCCTGCGCAAGCTGGCTCCCTCATGGGACACCTGTGGCAGGCGGGTTTGACGTCCACCTGGTAGGACAGGCCGTCAGGCTCATGGTGGGTTAGGCATGGGTGGTGGTTCTGTGGTGGGAGCAGGTCACTCGTGCAGAGTAATTAGAAGCACCAGGGGCTCTAACACTCAACACCTGAGTCACAGTCCCCACCAATTACATCAACCTTGAGGCGGGGCCCCAGCATCTGTAGTTCACAGCTCCCCAGGTGACTCCACTGTGGTGCTGAGGGTGAGAATCAGATGAAGCAGGTTCAGGATTAGGGGCGTCCATGAGCAGAACCTGCAGGAGCGGTCTGCCGGGAGGTGGCAGAGGGTTCAGCTGGGATGGCAGGTAGGTGGTACATACCCATTCTGTGTGGCCTGGGCAGGGAATCCCCTAGAGGCAGGTAGTACACACTTAGACATTGAGCCCATGATGTGTCCCAGCTGATCCCAGGTGACCTGAGAAGCATTCTCTGTTCAGGGCTCAGCCTCCAGCACTGTCAGGAGTGGCCTATGGAGGGAGGTGCCTGACCTTGGAGGACCAGAGCTACCATTTAGGAACAGGTGGTGGTCACACACATCTAAGTATGGCCCTAGCTAATGTTTGGTTCTCCGGTTTGTGATGAAAGCCTTGTGGTCAAGGTCAATGGCTGAAGGGCAAGCCTTTGTCTGGGAGCAGAAGCTGGCTTGGGACACAGAAAAGAGCGAATTCCAAATCAATTCCCTCCGCAGGTGTCGCACTTCCTTTTGCGTGAGTGGCTTCACCTCCAGGAGGCCCCACATCCCCACTGCCCACCTCATGGGGTGACAGGTGAACCCCAGGAAGGGAGGTGTAGTTAGAAGGATGTGCAGCGTAGTTTAAAGCTTGACCTCCAAGCCAGGCAGCCTGGATCTCCGGTCCTGTGCTACCCCTTGCTGGATGAATGACAGGGCGAGTCCCTTGATCCCTCTGCCCTTGAGGGTAAAGCCTGCCTGGAGGGGTTACGAGGCCTGACCGTGGAAGTCCTTGGAGTGGTCATGGCATGTTAAACGGGCTCTTCACCTAGTCCGAGTTACAGCACAGTAGCCCTGTACCGGCTCAGAGCGAGCCGTCAGAAGCTGTAATGCAAGACCAAGGTCAGGGGCTGGACTCGAGTACACGGCCCAGGCCCTACTCCTGCCTTGCAGCGCTCCCGTGGGTTCTGGTTGCTGTCTCCGCAGGTCTTGGTCTCGTACTATCAGCCAGATGTGGAGGTGCCCGTGGCCACAGCTGAGCTCTACCTCACTGCCATTGGTGAGTGCTGTTCCCACCCCTGGAGAAGGGTGGGCTTGACAGAGCCGGGGGCGGGGAAAGGGGCTCTCTCTGTAATGAGATGCCTTCCGCGGGTCCTGGGTGGATTCTCCGCATGCCCACGCATACTCCCTCCTCAGCTCAGCCGCTTCTCTCCCACCCTCAGCACTGCCGACCTAATTCTCTGCGAACAGAGGCAATAGGAGCATCCATGTGCTCCCGTCATCTACTCGCCTACCTGTCGGGTGCCAACCTTTGCCGCCTCGGTACAGTGGGTGACGTGTCTGGTTCAAGGCTTATCACACTAGATCCTTTCCCCTCTCACTTGCATTTAAGAACATTCCTTCTGTAATTCTTACCGATGTAGGATCCCACCACCCCTCGCCCCCTCTTCTGGATCAGTCCAGAACAAGCTATCGTGGCTACAATGCCTGTTCTCTTCAGGAATAAGCTGTAGCATTGATTCTCTTAAATCCGATGCTGTGTTCTCTTCAAACTCGCTCCCCACCGCTCTGCTCCTGTGCAGCCACCTCTGCATCCTCAACTTCTCCTCCCTTCCTCTGGAGCCTGCTCAAATCGGACCCCCCCCCTTACTGAGGACCCTAAGAACTTCCTCACTGAGTCCAGTGGTCAACTCTGTCTTCCTCTGCCTTGGCCTTTGTCAGTGTTTAACACAACTGGTGACCTTTCCTTGATGTGTTTCACTTAACACTCCAGGGACCCTGCCCTCAGTTTCCCCATTACCGAGCTGGCTGTTTCTTCTCAGATCCTTTGCTGGATCCTTCCTGGAGCCTGAAGTGTCCCTGAGGCTCAGGCAGTGCCCGGCATGTGGCTCTATAGACAGGTGACTCCCAAAACTCTAGCCAGGCCTCTCCCATAAACTTGGCTTGGCTGTCTGCTGACCCAACACAACGTCTAACCAACATCTCAAAACTGACACCTTGTTGTCCGGCTATTTCGGGCCAGAACTTGCCCATGCGGCCGGCTACATTGGTCAGCAAAGTATTTAAAATTACTTAAGTTAATGTAAGTGCAGACACGAGTTATCTCTTGACCAGTCAGCAACGTTCGGACATGGAAACGCGTGTATACTCGTGACTGGTCAGCAAGGTGTTTAATATATCCCAAATTGGGCTGCGTCTCTCCATCCCAAACACCGATTTTTAATTACCTTCCTCATCGCCGTAGATAGTAGTCGGTCCTTCTAGCCGACTCTCCGGTTGGCCCGTGTAGATCGGTGGATATTGTTGGCTCTGCCTTAAGTTCAGCTGGAATGCAGCTCCTCGCCACTTGCATTGCTCTTAGCCTGGTCCGAGTCACCGTCTTCTCTTGCACAGGTCCCCAGTGGGGCCCCCTGCTCCGCCCTTGCCCTTCCACAGGTCCAGTCTTAGCTCAGCCCCAGAGCAGCCCGCCTGTGAAAGGATATCGGATCAGGTCTCCTTGGATCAAAGCCTCCCGCTGCCTCCATTTCCTCACATGAAAGCCAGTGTTACCCACAGAGCCTGCCTGAGGCAGCCCACGCGACCTCTAACCTGTGCCCCATTCTTCCCTGTGTTCATTCTGTTCTGGGCACAGTAGTGTCCTTGACCCTTGAACTTTTCACCTTGCACTACCTGTTCGGTTTGCTTTTACTTCAGATACTGACATGGATCACTTTGGGCCTCCTTCGGGTCTCTGTTCACATTTCAACTTGGAAGACTTCTCTGACTTAAGACGGGGACGACCCGCTCCGTCCCCTTGTTTCCACAGCACTTTTACCATTGGACACGTGTATTTTATTTCTTCCTCCCCTGCCGCATGTGTGCTCACACACACCTTTGCACTTGAAGGAGACAGGGCCTGTCTTGCACGCGGCTGTACCCCTAGCACCCAGAACAGCACCTGGTGTGTAACCAGCACTGGGTCCTGGGCATGCATGGCCGGCGCCAAGTATAGAGCAGCAACCAAGGTCAGTTCGCATGGCCCTGGCATTCCAGTTGAGAAATAGCATGTCGGGTGACAAAAGCTACAAATAAAAAAAGCCATACAGTGGTCACTTGGTGGGGAGGGGTAGAAAATGAAACATAAGACAGCAGGGAGAACCTCTATGGCGATACTTGGGCAGAGCCTGGGTCCTTAAGCTCTAAAGGGGCTTGCAATGGCCAGGTACTGAGCCCTTCCTATGTGTTAGAGTGCCAGGAGCTTTCTAGAAGGCTAGGAAGGCGAGCCCTTCTAGGTAGGAACCATCTGGGGAGAGGCCACCAGGCACAAAAGGACATCGTGACCACAGTGGACTTGTTTCGTGAGCACCCAAGAGGTTGGGGGAGACACGTCACTACTTGGGCCTCTGTGGGCTTGCTCACGAGAAGGGCTCTGTCTCTGAGGAATGTTTTCTAAGCCTACAGCATGCCTGAAAGCCTGGATGGCCCTGCTACCAGCCTTGGACAGCCCTGGGGGATTAGCTGCAGCTTCGAGGCTCGGTCCAGCAGGTCCAGGGGCCTAAGACCTTTCCCTCCTGTTGCAGTGGTCTCCCTGGATGTGGATATCTATCGCAGAGGGCAGGTTGAGACTGCAATTGACCATCGGGCTAAGGTGAGGCTGCTGGGGAAGGGTGCAGATGGGAGCCCCTGAGTCAGATCTGGCCAACGACCTATTTGACTTTCACGGTGTCTGTTAAGTCACCTGCTGCAACACAAATCAGAGCTGAAGTCGATCCTCTAGCTTTTTCAAAAAACTATGCTAGGTTCATATCCAAGCCTGGTAATATAGTCAACCAGAGCACAGGGTTAGCTGCCCCCGTCAGATGGGCATGTCTCCTCCACTTGGCCTCAGTCCCTGCTTCCCCTGACACTAGGTAGAAAACTGGTAGCCTATCACTAGATATTGGTCCACTTACCTGATGTTACCTTCAAGGCACTTGAGTTGGTAGATTCTGACCTAGAGGTTCCTGTCACCCTGAAGAAAGGCCTGGCTCTGCCCCTGGTTGGGGGAAAGCATCTGGGAAGCAGAGGATTTTACCTGACATCTTCCTGAACCAACATTCCTGTCTTTGCAGAAAAACTGGGTCTGGGGTCCCAATGGTTGGGGCGCCATCCTGCTTGTGAACTGCAGCCCCGCTGACATTGTCCAGCTCATAGACAAGACTAAGAAGGTGTTCTTTTCGGAGGGTAAGAAAGAACTGGCCACTGACCTGGGACTACTGCCACCTTTCCTCCTTGAGTTCTGCCTTACCCTGGGACTTCACTGCCCACCCCTCAGCAAACACAGATTCTAGGCCTATGTCTCCAGTCGGGGTCAATCAAGTCTCTTATCAATGGCTTGAAGCTTGTAAGAGGCCGTGTGGCCCCATGGGAAGGGCATGGGATCTGATGTCAGTCAGTAAACTGTTAACTTCCTGGCTATGAACTTGAGCATGTTAACTTCCCTGGCCCTTGTTTTGCCACCTGTAAAATGGGTCTGACACAGTTGGCCTTTCAGGGTCAGGGAGAAGACTAAATGAAGACACAGAGGGGTGTATGAGACTCTTCCTAAAAACCCTCTTGCCAGCTGGGGCAGGAACTCTAAGGCAAAAGCTACCTCGGATCTGGTCCTGACGTGGTTGGGACCTAGGTTCTAGGTCTCAGCAATAGAACAGATGTCCTGGTTCACACCAAGGCTGGGGGCAACCCTTGCTGAACTGACTGTGCCAGGCCCTGTTCTAGGTGTTTGTGTACTGCCATATGGGGTCAAAGCCATCCTCACTCAAAGTGGGCCCGAGGCGTAAAACGTGATGCAGGCCTGGGCCAGAGCGGGAGGCAGAGGGTCCTTGGCACTCCAATGCACAAGCCCCCCACCCCCTGGAGCGCTGGCTTCCAGAAGCCCTGAACCTCACCTTGTCTCTTGCCCAGAAATTAAGAATCTGTCCCAGATGGTACTGAACGTTCAGGGGCCCAGCGGCATTTTCAAGAACCACCGGCTGGTTCTCCACACCTCCAAGGAAGAGGCAGGGAAGGCAAGAGTCTACCTGGCCCAAGGTGAGTTCTTGCAGCGGCTCCAGCTCTACTCTCACCTCCAGGTGAGTGGTGGCCATACCCCGACCCGGTACGGTCCCCTCAAACCCACTGGGGATCTAGAGATGCAGGTCAGGGTCTCTGTTGTGGCCGAACTTGTACCCCTAGGATCATCTGGCTGCCACCATCAACAAACACAGTCTACACACATGGGTGGGTCATTGTACCTCCAGGCCACTTTCCCCAGTGGAGGTGATGACGGTCCCTATCCTATGGGATCTTTATATCTGGAGGAAGAGACATGCACAGTAGCTAAAACAGTAGCTACTGCCTTATGCAGATTAGATGATGGCTCCTGCCCATTTCTCTTGCCAGAATCCACCTTCATTTCTGAACCAGAACCCCACTAGATTGTTTCTGGAATACAGGGCCAAGAAGGCAGGTGCAGCGAGGCTGGCATGTCCACCTTGGGCTCCACGCCACACACTGCCACCTTCAGCCCCTATCAACCTGGCAGGCAGGTGGCCTGCCCCTATTTATAAAGGTTTAAGGACTGTTGGGTTAGAGAGGGGACATGTCCACCTCCAGCAAAATGCCCTTGAACGAGGAAGTCAAGGGAGGCCCAGGGGCAGGGAGGGGGAAGAAGGCGGATGTGGAACCTGGTGGAAGACTCGCCTCGTCCAGTCTGACCCCCTCAAGGCCAGCAGAGAAGCCTCCCCCTTACCCCCAATCTACACATGGCCAGCAGCAGAAAGATGTGAGAAAGGAGCCAGTACCCTGGGCCGTCGGGTGTGGTGACAGCTGGTCTGTCCATGCTCTTCCTTCCTTCCTAGAAGCCGACTCCAGCACCTGCGAGCTGGTGCTGGGGTCTGGCCTGTACACCTACACCCTGGCCCCCCTGGACAGCCACTTAAAGGAAACCTTCTACGTGGAAGCCACGGAGTTCCCGTCCGCCAGCTTCTCTGGCCTGATCTCCTACTCGGTGTCTCTGGTGGAAAAGTCTCGGGACCCGGTAAGTCCCGGAGGAGACACGCCGCCCTCGGAGCAGGGACTGTGTGGGAAGGGACATCTCTCCCAGCTGGGAGGAGGAGAGGGGAGGACAAGGCTTGGCGGGTGGAGCTGGGGTCTCCTGCCACCTTTGGAGGAAGGAGCAGCAGAGGACAAGTGAGTGCCTGGAGGTGGGCTGGACTGAGCAGCTGGAGGCCCGGGGTCGGGTCGGGGAAGAAGCTGGGTGTGGAATCGGGTCACCAACAGGGCTGTGCCTTCTATCGCAGTTAGTTCCAGAGACCCTGGTATACAAGGACACGGTAGTGTTCCGGGTGGCTCCTTGCATCTTTACCCCAAGCACCCAGATGCCTCTAGAGGTCTACCTGTGCAGGTACGATCCCCTTGGGCTGTCTGTGCCAGGCCGCTTCTGTCCCTAGTACCCACTTCTGTCTGTCTGCGGGGAGTTAAGGGGGCTAGACTTCTCACCAGGAAAGTGAAATCCCTCCCCCCCAGCTGCCTGGTCCCCAATATGGTCTTCAATACCAGTCTGAGCACTTACAGCAGTGAGGTCCCTCCCCTGGTCAGAGATAGAAACATCAATGATGGGGGTCACTGACTGGCTGCCTCCTGCACGCCCCCTGCTGGGGATCGAGCCTGCAACCTGGGCATGTGCCCTGACTGGGAATCGAACTGGGATCTCCTGGGTCATAGGTAGATGCTCAACCGCTGAGCCACACTGGCCAGGCCCCCCCCTGGTCTCATAAGGAGAGACGGACAAGTAAACAGCACGACTTCAGGTAGTATCAGGTGCCATAAAGCAACGTAAAAGGAATGGCAAGGACGAGGGTGTTCTGGGGGCAGCAAGGAGGCCTGTAGAGCTAGGAGAAAGCAGGTAACAGGAGGAAGGAGGGGAGGAGACAAGGACAGGGCTAGGGCCAGCGGGGCCTCGGACCCTGTGTGTCAGGGCATGACCTTGGGGCTGTAACAGACCCCAAATACGATGGTTTAAAGTTAACCAGTGTTTAAGACCTTTTTAGGTTGACAACTTGGAGAGAAGCCCATGGAGACAGGCTTCCCCACAACCAAAGTTACTGAAGAGACCGAAGCGCAGAATCGGGTCTAACCAGGGCTGGAGGTTTGCCAGGCGAACAAACCCAGGTAGACGGTGGACAGGGTGTAATTATGATGCATTGTAGCCTCGGAGCCAGATGATAAGAAAGGTGGAGAAACAGGGTGATGGGAATGGGAGCAGTCGCGGGTCAGAGGTCCCTATGAGGTCAAGCTGCTGGCCCGGCATCTAGATGGGGCGAGCATGGGAGCTGGAGGGGATGGAACGGACAGGTCACAATCTTGGAGGTGGTGCGACTGTTGGGGCTAGGAGGCTGAGGAAGGGTGGATAAGATCTGTCAAGTGAAGGGGACTTAAAGAGGTCGTGATGGCCCGGAGGCAGCAACACATGTAGAGGGGGACCACCTGCCTCCTCCGGGCCCCTGGGGTATAAAAGAAAAATGGCTCTTCATGGGAGGGCTGCGAGGGAAGCAGGGTCCTCAGGGGAACACCCGGTATTCAGGCACGGCTTGATCCAGCTTAGCCACAGGTGGCCGTGACGCTGGGGCTGCCCACCCTCACCCGCGCACACATCCCCAAGACTGCTCTAGACCTTACCAGCCTGATCAGCTCCCTGTAGCCTCGTAGACCGAGATACGGCGTTTTTGGAACAGTAACAAAGAGTAGCAATTCAAGGTTTATACCTAGAACCAGGTTAGAATCTCAGTGTTGACACTGCCTAATAGTGTGACTTTTCTGGCATTCAACAAAATGGGTGATCTTTTTAAACAGCCGCATACATCACTGTTTCTCTCCAAGGAACAAATGTACATCAGGGACTGGTATGACAGTGCTAAGATCCCAGGGTTCAAGACCCACCCCCTGCTTCTTGTATAAATATGACAACCTTGTTGGCCATCTCAAGGGGACACCTAGCTTGACTTCTCGGGGGAAAAATACAGCCCCTCGGGGAGAGGAGTAGGCCCACTGGGTAGACACAGGCCAGGAGAGCCTGGGGCGGCTCCCAAACTGCCTGGGGCAGGGGGTAGAAGGTACTTGCAGGATAGGGACAGAGCAGGGTCCTAGGCCACCAGAGTGGGGACGGATACTAATAGTTCTGGACCAGACTCTGCCATGAGCTAAGCAGAGTGATGCTGGGCAAGATGTGCTCTGTGCTACCAGCCTGTGCTCTCTGAGGATGAGGGACAGCCACTCTGCATCTCTCCTGGGTGGGGACATAATCTCTTCTGACCAGAAGGAGGTGCCCCCTTCCCTGGGGCAGCAAGGTCATGATGGGGGTGGGGGTGGGGGGCATGCCTCGAAGACCTCAGAGCTGGCTTATCTCCTGTGGCAGAGAGCTGCAGGTCCAGGGTTTTGTGAACACGGTCACGGAGCTCAGCGAGAGGAGTAACAGCCAGGTGGCGTCTGTCTACGAGGACCCCAACCGCCTGGGCAGGTGGCTCCAGGTAACGCCCCACCTGTCTGTGGGGGAGGGACAGGGGATTCTGACTGCAGCCGGTACAAAGACCATCTCAGGCTTCCATTCGATCTTCCCAGCAAAGCTAAGCCTAACTAAGGCGTCTTTGTTTGTAGGACTTCAGTGGAAGCTCAGATAAAATGGCCTTGCCCGAGTCACAGCCCCTGAGGAACAGAGCTTAGATCTAACTTCTTCCTACTCGGAATGCTCGTGGTTAAGACCTCAGAACACCTAACCCTAACTAACCCCTAGGCAGCTGAGG